ACCCGCGCAATGCGGCGGGAACCGTGAATTTAACCGATTTTGAAGTTTCACTGGTTTTATTAGAGAAGATTTAACGATGATGTAAGTTACATTTGGTCTTTACATATTAATTTAATTTGAATAAATATGAGTTATGGTTTCAATTACAGTCTATTAATGAAAAAAATTGTATGACAGTTTAAAATTCAACATATTTAAACGACTCCATAAATGTGTTCGATTTACACCAAGAGCAAAGAATCAAGATATCAAGAGCGAGACTGAGAGTTCTAGAGCAATTGAATGAGAGAATTTTAATAACTCATGGTGAATATCAGTTTGAATCTCATCTTAGGGGATGGGGAGAAGACATAGAGGCATGAGAGGGTGAAAACATGAGTAAAAGGTGTCAAAAGTATCTTGGAAACTTGAAAAGAAAAGATAATAATGTGCATTGATAACTTGTACTATATGCTATTTTAATTGTAGATTAAGAGAATTTAAGATTGAATGCATAAATTAGTAGTACTTAATGCATTATGAATTTTTTTAAAGAATTTTAAGACTTTGTGCATAAATATATAGTACTTTGTACATTAAAAATTGTTTTTAATACTTTTGATAAGGTTTATAAGGTACTATAGATGATATGAATCAAACACTATAGTCACAACTGTTATTCATTCCCATTCCTTACCTTAAGCACCCCCTAACATTTTGAGATGACAACCAGGGGAGAACCATAGTCATAACTGCTAACCCTGTTTTTTTTTTATATTAAAAAATTGATATAGTAATTTCCTTTTAATAGAAACTTATTTTTTTGGTAAGGCCATTAACTTAATTGGCTTTGCTCCCACTCAACCTCAAGATCATACGCTAATAGACTAAGGGGACATTTACGTAAAGATTATTTAGTTAAGCGTTTACCAAGTCATATTACCTTACTAAATAAATATGACAAGTACCAAGAATCTTACCCGGTAAGTGATGGTGACGACTTTTACCACAATTAACACTTATCGGATAAATTGTTGCACACAATACTGTTTTGGTGGCCTAAAATCTTACCTGGTAAGTAGTAGCGTTAAATTTTGTCCGTACGCACTTATCCGGGTAAGTGTTTGGTAAATGTTCCCTAAATTATAATTCACGATTTCTTATTATGCCCAACAGTTCATTTTAAAAGTTATTTGGTTAGCATTTCAGAAATATAATATCATTGTTTTTGTCATTTTCAAAAAATTAGTAGTTACTTTTTTTAACTTATTTTATTTGTGATTGATGTTCCCTCTGGATCGAGATCCGGGCTCCACCACTGATGCCCAATAAAATGAAACACCAACAAAAAGTATCCTTATGTTAAGCGGCATTGTTTATTTCGTTTGCCGGGTTGTTTTATTCCCAAAACATTGAAGCATTAACATAGTTAAAAAGATGTATTGACTTTCGAGATTATGATTCTTAGCTCAACTGACAATTAAGACTTATGTCTTTAGGGTTTTTCTTCATTGGTCACCGTTCGAGTCAGCAAGGCACTGGGGATTTTTCTGATAGTTCTCCAAGACCCTTGGGATTAATTGAGGTAAGCGCAAGTGACGTTTATCTGCTCTAACTCACGATAATTGCAATTTCTGGTTGTCAAAGGGGTGTATTCACCAACCCCATCGGAGAAGGATCCTTCACACACCAATGACCAATCCATATTCAAATCAATGTCAGAAGATAAATAAATATAATAAATGATTTGAATCATGATAAATGGGAGGTGTACTGATAATAAGTGTAAGGTGAGGAGGGTAAAACAGTGTATGAAGCCTATACATTGGAAGAAGAAGAAGCTTAAGATGGAAAAAAACCCAAAATTCCAAAATCCATCACATCAAAGAGCATATGAAGTAAAAATTTGATCAACATCATGATCTAAAAAGGTATAAAAAAAACTCAATTCTTCCGTTGTTTAGTTGTCCGCTATCGATTTTGAATGGAAACCGAATTACTTTCTATGTTGATATGTTTCATTTCGGTATTGGAAGCTACAAAAAATAGTACAACAAGAAATTAGAACTCCAAAAATCTAAACAATCGATTTATAATAAGATTGTTGAGTCATTACAATTTATATGAAGTGTGAATTTGATCGGTGATCACAAATAAGTACCTGAGAGATAAGTTTGGAGGCATGATCACAAGCAGCATATCTCTTCAAGGGTGAATCGTCTGAAACTGTTTGATATCAAGCGTCTGACTGATAGATCCAAGAGTGAAATAAACATTGCTGGCAGCCGGCACATCAACTCTGATTTCATCAATATTCAACCAMAACAGTAATACMTGTGCCTGAAGACCTTTGATCTCGCTAAGCACACCGTAGTTGAACAACGAAGTTATCTGTGGGATCGAAAGTGTAGGATGTGACAGGATCTGATAAGAGACCAACACGAAGCTGTTATCTGTGGGATCGAAAGTGTAAGATCGAAAGCTGTTACCTTTGGGGGGGGGGTTTCTTTACTATTAGTGTTAAATCTGATAGTGTTAAATCTTATTGGTAAGCACTTACCGGGTAAGTATTTGATAAACGGCCCCTAAGTGTGATCCAGATTAGACCAGTGGAAGATCTTGATAGTGGCAGTTGACTTTCATCTCATGTGGATGAAAACCTTTTCAAGGAACTCTCCTTTCTTAACAAACAACTAACTAAAAAGAGTTTCAATGAAGAAAGTAAAATATATTAACTTCTCTTGTGTGATCCAAAGCTCAGTATGACGTAGAAAGGAAAAGAAAAGTAAAATGTTCTTCCTAAACAGAACAGGAAACAATGACATCTCAATTCTCAACCACAATCAAAAACCTTATTATGATGCTTTTAACAACTATATATATATCAATAAAAATTCATGTCTTCTTTGACAAAATAAATCAACTATATGCATCAGTTCTAGTTCCAAACACTTCAGTGAACAGAGTTGAAGATTTTAATGTAAATGTTTGTCCATAGCTATAATATTACTCGTGTTTCCATTATATTGAAACAGAAAAGAGTTCTGCTATTTTACCGATGGGGAAATGTTTCCATTGGCCACCTTTTGTGTATTCAATGTGGGGTAACAGTATAAAGGCTTGAAAAAGACCCATGCGTTAGAGATCGGTAAAGGTATCTTGCTCTAAGCACCTTCAATCCATAATAAATTAAAAACTTCTTTTGTCCAATTTGACCAACCAAAGTATATTAACAAAAAATCATGGTAAAAATATCAGTTAAATCTTCAATGTGGTGGACAACAATGACAKAAGTAGATAAYTGAAAGCATCATTACACARTAGCACCAAATGACCTCCTAACCTCCATGATCAGGACRCAAGCAAGGGATCAACTCCGATCAAGTAATACGATAGGAAATAAATCAATATTTATTTACTTCCTAATAAGATATATTTCTTATAATTCTATTTTTTCTACAATATGTTCCCTTCACCTTTATTTGTATTAGT